CCCGGAAATAGTATGTCCCAAGGCCCTTAAAATGGGTAGCCTAGGCTGAGGCCAGCTTCTAGGAGGCATCTGTCTCAGGAGGGGCGTTGAGGACAGGAGCTGAGCCAAAAGGATTTCTGGCTCCTGTCCTACAAAGATCAGGAACCTGAAGGATGACATGGGCAATCAGGACCATGACAAGTATTCCCTGCCTTTTGGTGGGCTGCTCACCATCTATCCCATTCCTTTCAGAAACCAGTAAAGACAGCTCGGGCACCAAGCCGGCCAGCAAGCGACCCATGTCGTCTCCAGAAATGTAAGTAGCCAGTCTCTTTCTAGAATCTTCTGTAGGGGGGTACTTAGAGTGGAAATAGGCTTCAACTGCTTGGGACTAGATTCACAGGGTCTTGAATCAGTGTTTATACAATGTTCTTGAGACTCTCTATAACTGTTTTTCCTCTCTTTTTTTTACATAAGGAAATCTGCTCCAAAGAAGTCTAAGGCTGATGGTCAGTGAGGAAGCTGGCCAGCATCTGAATCCTCCAGACCCCTCTGCTTCAGGAACGCCCTATAGGGCCCACCCTCCCACCCTGCCCACCCAGCCCACCCAGCCTACCCAGCCTACCCAGCCTTTGCACTTCACCCTCACCACCCACTGGCTACCATTCAGTCTTCCCCTTCCCTCTGTTTTTACAATAAAGAAAGCACATTTTACCATTGCTGTTGGGAGGAAAGCAGAAGACAGATTGGAAAGAGTGACGAGTAAGCAAATGAGTGCAAGTTGTGCTCCTTCCTTTTCCTGGTGACCTCCATGAGTTAAGTATGACTGGACTGTTCAGAGACTTTGGGAAGAGAGATGAAAACTGAAAACAAAGGAGATAGCTCCCACACTTAGGCCTGCACTTGTTTGTAGTTAATCACCCTTGGCCTGAGAGGTAGCCAAGGGCTAGAGGGGGAAGTGGTGTCCCCCAAGTTCCCTCAGAGGATTTTCCCAGCAGGTGCCCCATTCTGGGTTATCTGTCTGGTTCTAGTTTGTTTTGTTACTACCCTTTTATTTTTCAGCCACCTCCCAGCCCTTCTTCAGGCTTAGTCAGATCTGTCTCACCCAGCAAGCCTGCCAGAAGCTTAACACATCTCAGAGGCCTTTGTGCTACCACTTAACACCTCTCCCTTCCTCTTTACAAAACAGATGAGGAAAAAGGAGCCTTGGGTGGTCTGAGCAGTGGCTGTGAAATCCTCCCATTGGGCACAGAGTGGTCCCCAATGATCCTGGCTTTGGCCCACCTTGTTTGAGCCTGGGGGCTGCATCACCAACCGCTGCGTTTGTTGTACTTTTTAAGTTGAAATTAATGAAGTTAACATTTTTATTGTAATTTTAGCCTTAGCGTGTGGGGGTTTATCCCTTTTTGTTAGCTCTGTACAGATTGTGTATCGTATTTTTTTTCTTCCACCTTCCTCCCCCTCCCCCTTGGCTAATCATTGGCAGGGATCTTTCTAGGGAAAAGCTGAGAGAGCAGCTAGGGCAGGAGAGAAACAGTGTCCTGGGTAGGACCTGGTAGACATTGTCTCAACAATTTCCTGTTGCTAGTCCCTGCCTGCTTTTGGAACAATGTGAGACATTAACCTTTATTCCCTGTGGCTTGGCACTTGACATGTAGAGGCTTGGGCTTGAAGGTGGGGTTCGCCTTCATCAGCATCATTTGCAGAGACTGACCTTGAACAACACAGCAGGAGCAGGGGACAGGTGGGACCTGGCCACCTTGAAGGCAGCCCAAGAAGGGGGTGAGGTATGCCATATATCCCATAGAGGCTGGGGGTAGGTACATAACACAAACTCAGTAATTAATATCATAGCATTGTCCCCAAGCTCTGGATTTTTCTCTCCAGGACCTAAGTTTTAGGCAGTGAGTAATGCTTGCAAGCAAGTTACTGAAGGATTTAAAAATGGACAGCCAATGTGTTCAGCCACTCAGGCCCGTACCCCCTGGGGCCTCTAGTGTATTGTATCATATTTCTCTGTGGAAAACGTCATGTTTAGTCAAGTTGGAGCCCACTCGCCTGGTCCATTTGTTCTCCCTATGCCTTTTCCCAAGCACCCTTTGATTCCTCTTCTGAGAACAGTACTACCCGTTCATCTATTGTAGAGTAACCCGTGACTCAATATTACCATAGTGCGATGTTGTTTTGTGCTATTTTGAACAATTAAAAGACTTTTTTTGAAATAACTATCTGGTGTCTTACCCCTGTGTCAAGAGTGTCTTGCGACCTTTGGAAAAAGGAAGCTGGGACCTACCCAAGGTTCACTTGAACAGGGAACCTTTTGTTACCAGGAATCATATGTGAGTGTCTCAATTCAATTGCCCTTCTAAGACGGCTCCAGAGCAAGGCCACTGGGGCCTCTAGAGCCATACTACCTTATAGGCCCAAGGCTGAGGGGCCTCTTGAGTGCTTGCTGCTGATTCTGCATTTTGGAAGCCAGATCACCTATTCTCCCATTAAGGGACAGACCACGATCAAGGCCTGGCTGGCCATTGACAAACATGTGAGTAAACTACAGCCCCTATAGTTCCAACATAAGCTCAGAAGACTCCAGGATGGCAGCTGTAGCAGAACAGGTGTGTCAGACAAATGATGTATACTCAGTGTAGGACCAAATCTAACTTTGTGCACAGGCCAAGCGTGCAAAGAGGTCGAGGCAGAATTATTGACCCTGGCTGTCCAGCAGCCAGTTGGGTGGTACAGTTACGATTTGATTGAATAGTGTTATCTGGGCAGAAAGCTAAAAAAGCCTGGAGATAAGGTGGTCCTGGCCAGAGCTCAGTGTTGATAGGTCTAGGTGCCAGCAGGCTGAGAGTAGTAAGCATATCACCTTCATGCATCTCCAGGTCTCTGGTGCTTGAGCTAGAGAAAGAAGAGGTGTGGGGACATGTTTGCTCAGCACCTCACTTCTGAAATCCCTGCTGCTACTCCCTTTTAGGCTTTTTTTTTAGATGGTCTCACTGTGCATTCCTGGCACTCACTATGTAGACTAGGCAGGCCTCAGACTCAGAAATCTGCCTCTGCTTCCCAAGTGCTAGATTATAAACTGTCACACCCAACTTTTTTTCATTTATTTTTAATGATGTGTGGGTAGGTGAGTGGATAAGTATGTGTAGGTTCCCTCAGATACCAAAGACATGGTCCTCTGGAGCTAGGGTCACAAGCAGCTGTGAGCTGACCAACTTGAGTGTTACAGAGGAACTTGGGTCCTCTGTAAGAGCAGTATACATTCTTAACCACTGGGCTATTTTTCCAGGACAGCCAGGACTACATAGTGAAACCCTGTCTTGGAAAACAAAAACAAATACTGAGCTTGGAGCTGGGTATGATGCAACATACCTTTAATCCCAGCTCTTGAGAGGTAGAGGCAAAAGGGTAAGGAGTTCAAGACAATCCTTGGCAAATAGAACTCAAGGCTAGACTGGAATACATGAGACTGTGTTGCAAGCAAACTGAGTTTGAAGGCAGAAAGAGGCATCACAGTCTTGCCTCACTCTGCTTCCATGAGATCCAGGGCCAGGGATATAATACCTTTAGTATTATACTAAGGCTTGGCCTTGATTGATCTTGAGGAGGATGGTATGTGTGTAAGGGAGGCAGAGGAGAGAATGGACATGAATAAAAACAGTTTAAATAATCACACAAGCTTCCTAGCTACAGATCCAGGGTCCCCTGGGTATAAGCTGAGGGTAGATATGAACACAGCAGCTGCAGTAGACACCTAACATCTACCTGACATAGATGGGAAAAAGGCTTACTCCAAGCACTACAAAGGTGAAGTGTTTTCAGGCTAAAAGCCACTCCAATCTGCAGAGCTAGCCAGCAGCCATAGTCTTTATGAAATCAAAGGTCTGCTCACAGCTTGGGTGTGTGGGTGGCACAAGAACATAATCATATCCAGGGATTGGATTCTTTTTACTAACCAACTCCTAGAGCAGCATTGATGAGGCAGCAGGTCTAGTTACTTTACACTCTTGGATTGCTGTCCATCCTTAAGGACATGTTCTAGAAACTGAAGTGATGACATAGCAGTTCAGTGCACTGACATTCCAGAGGGCCCAGGTTCAGTTCCCAGCACCTACATGAAAACTCACAACCAACTGTAACTCTAGCCCCAGAGAATCCCTCTTCCAGCTTCTGAGGATACTAAGTGCATGTGGTGTAAGATTCAGAACATGTTCAAGCTCCCCAAACTACCTCGGGCTTTCTGACTGGAACTCTTCCTCCACAGAATTCTGCTGATCAATGAGGTTGCCCAATGGGTAACAAGAATGGGTGGAAGGGCTGGAGAGAGAACTCAGAGGTTAAGAACACTGGCTGTTCTTCCAGAGGTCCTGGGTTCAATTCCCAGCAACCACATGATAGCTCATAACCATCTGTAATGAGATCTGGTGCCCTCTTCTGGCATAGAGGTGTACATGCAGGAGGAATATTGTATACATAATAAATAAATTCTAAAAAAGAAATAGAAAGAATGGGTGGAACAGCCTCTCTCAGAGCCAACCTATACTGAGTAGCTAGAAGGTCCAGAAATCTGGAAGGTGCCCACTCTGCTCTGCATGATTACCCACTGTTTTCCCAGAAGCATCCTTTGGGATGAAGTATCCAGGAACTGACAATCAGGGCCAGTGATTGTAAATTACTGGATACTGACAGCTGAAGCAGCTAAAAGACCAAATTGGCAAATATGACTTGCCCACTATATGGGGGGGGGGGGTAATAGGGTCTCGGGATCTAGGCATTTCCAGGAGAACCCCAACCCCACACATCTGTTGGGATCACCAACAGTTGCAAGGCCCAAGTCATTCTCCTCTCTACTTTCTCCCTATGGGACAAGACTCCTCATCCAGTTCCCACCAGGGTGATCTAGAGCAAGAGTGCTCAGCCCGGGCCTAGATGGGCAGGGGGCGGGGAAACCCCGCCCTCTGTCCCGCCCATACCTCCGGGCCCTTTGAACCCAGAGGAGGATCAGGTGGGTGGGGCAGTGCTCAGTCAGCTGAGTGACTGTCACGGGATTGCTACCAACTCCAGTTTCCTGGAGGAAAGCGAAATAAATGGACAGAGCCTTACAAGTCAGAGGTAGCCTTGGCGGGAGAGGTGCTGTTCTGGAAGGTCCCAGGCGACGGTGGGGTCAGAAGCTCATCGCAGAGGCAAGAGGGATCCTTGACTAAAGGACCTAAGGGGGGTGGGGTGTGAGCAAACAGCTCTGGGGCCCACTTGAGCTGTTTCAGGAAGTCGCTGTGAAGAACTCTGCCTCCATGCCTGACCTGAATCACTTCACAGGACATGGAGAAGGAACGGGAGGCACTGCAGGTCTGGAAGGAACGAGTGGGACAGGAGCTCAATACTGTGGTCGCTTTCTGGCTGCAGCACTCCCATGATGAGGAACACGGGTTAGCTACCCCTCACTGATTGTCCCAGGACTCTTGCCCCTCCAAAACCCCTAACTCATTCTGAGGCTTCACAGATTTCGGGAGAGTAATGAAGCTATGAAGAACGGTGCAAGTCTCCTTCCCTCTTTTTCTAACAATAAATGTCTCACAGGGGCTTCTTCACATGTCTTGACCGCAATGGGCAGGTCTATGATCACCTCAAATATGTCTGGCTACAGGGGAGGCAGGTCAGTTTTCACACTTAAGACTGTCACATAACAATTGGAGATACCCAGGGATACTTAGGATTTCCCTTACCCCAGCTGCCCCTCTTTAAACTGTATTCCCTCACAGGTATGGATGTATTGTCGCTTGTACCGCCTTTTTGAGCGCTTCCGCTGTGCTGAGCTTCTGGATGCAGCAAAAGCAGGTACTCTCTCCTACCCTCATCTCCTCAGGAGCTTCAGTGGGTCATTTATTCAGTGGATCTAAAAGGGTCTAGAAAAGGGAAGGGACTGGGAGTGTTCCAAGAGGCAGTATATTCCCAGCCCTCACCTAGCATGCATTCTCCCCAACCCCAGGTGGTGAGTTTTTGCTGCATTATGCCCGGGTGGCACCGCCTGGCAAGAAATGTGCCTTTGTGTTGACTCGGGATGGCCGTCCAGTGAAGGTGCAGCGGACCATTTTCAGCGAGTGTTTTTACACCATGGCCATGAATGAGCTTTGGAAAGTAACAGGGGAAACACGTTATCAGGTGTGTGGGAGGATGGCTACAGGCTGTCAGGGGTGAGTGCACTCTCACAGGCCTGGGAGCCTGCCACAACTCCCATTTATTCCTGCCCTACCATTTTGTGACCACCTTCTCTCCGCAGCTCTCTCCCAATTCTTATACCACCACAGGGATCCTGGGCAAACAGGGATCTGTCCCGTGCCCTGTATCCAGGTAGAAGTCCTCTCCTTCCTTCCTGGGCTCTTCTGCCGGAAGTGACCCAGAGCCCCCCCCTCCCCCTCAAGCAGTATTGGGTGGATCTGCTTGGCCTCTGGTGCCTGGCTGTGGGCTGGTCCTGGAGAGCTGTAGAAGAAGCAGGTGTCCTTGGAGAAAAAGCTGAGTATTGGGTCCTTCCTAGGGGAGACAGATGGGATAAGGCTTGCAGCTTCTGTCTGTTCTTCCCTCAGAATGAAGCTGTGGAGATGATGGACCAGATCGTCCACTGGGTGCGGGTGGACCCCACTGGGCTAGGCCGGCCTCAGCTCTCGGGGACCCCAGCCACAGAGCCCATGGCGGTGCCTATGATGCTGCTCAGCCTGGTGGAGCAGCTTGGGGAGGAAGATGAGGCACTGACCAGCAAGTACGCAGAACTAGGGGACTGGTGTGCCCACAGGATTCTGCAGCACGTCCAGGTAGGCACAGAGAGAGTGGCAGAGTGAACCTCATCCTCCCACTATACAAGGGCCCCTCTGCCTGAAATATGTTCTTCAGCTTTCTAGACAGGTGGATTGAATTTAAGGAAGAACTTTCATTTGAAATACAGTCCAGGGCCCTCAGGAAGGTAGAGCCTAGCAGCTGGGACAGAGGTGGGTGGGTCCTAAGGTAGAAAGAAGAGGCCGAGCCCCGAGACAAATCCTGAGACCTTGATCTAAGTTCCTTCCCAGCCTCTGGGCACCCAAATCTATCTCGCCTCCTTTTTCAGTGTTTTACTCTCTCCTGCCTGAGATCCAGACCTAAAGGAAGGATCAAAACCTACAGGCCCCTGAGAGACAATCAGCAATTCCAAAAATGATCTTCTGTTATTCCAGAACTCCAGAGGTAGAAGCAGGAGAATCTAGAGTTCAAGGTCAGCCTTGCAGGTGTAGCTGTTTGAGGCCAGCCTGGGCCATCCCAAGACTGTTTCAAAACACACAACAGTCAGGTGACAGTGGTGCATCATGCCCTTTGATCCCAGCACTTGGGAGGCAGAGGCAGGTGGATCTCTGTGAGTTTGAGGCCAGCCTGGTCTACAAGAGCTGGTTCCAGGACAGGCTCCAAAGCTACAGAGAAATCCTGTCTTGAAAAACCAAAAACAGAAGCGACCAGAGGTGAGCGTTACTCGGCATCGGGCTCTCGGGGCGAATCCTCCGTCATCGCCGCCGTCGGGGCCTCAGGGGAATCGGCATTGCGGCCCCAGGGCTCTGAGGTGACCCGTGAAGATGGTTCGCTACTCTCTTGACCCGGAAAACCCTACAAAATCATGCAAATCGAGAGGATCTAACCTTAGGGTTCACTTTAAGAACACCCGTGAAACGGCCCAGGCCATCAAGGGTATGCATATCCGAAAAGCCACCAAGTATCTGAAAGATGTCACTTTTAAGAAGCAGTGTGTGCCATTCCGACGGTACAATGGTGGAATCGGTAGGTGCGCCCAGGCCAAACAGTGGGGCTGGACACAGGGTCGTTGGCCAAAAAAGAGTGCGGAATTTTTGTTGCACATGCTGAAAAATGCAGAGAGCAATGCTGAACTGAAGGGTTTAGAGGTAGACTCTCTGGCCATTGAGCACATCCAGGTGAACAAAGGCCCTAAGATGCGCCGAAGAACTTACAGAGCTCATGGCCGGATTAACCCATACATGAGCTCTCCCTGCCACATTGAGATGATCCTCACTGAAAAGGAACAGATTGTTCCAAAGCCAGAAGAGGAGGTTGCACAGAAAAAAAAGATATCCCAGAAGAAACTGAAGAAACAAAAACTTCTAGCACGGGAATAAATTCAACATGAAATAAATGCAGATAAAAGTAAAAAAAAAAAAAAAAAGAAAAAACAAAAACAAAACAAAAAGACACCCTCTTTGGGCCTACTGAATAGGTGGATGGCTAGTACCAAGGGTGGAGAAAGAAAGGGATTTTCTTTTTTTTCTTTTTTTTTCGAGACAGGGTTTCTCTGTGTAACAGTACTGACTGTCCTGGAACTCACCATATAGACCAGGCTAGACTTGAACTCACAGAGATCTGCCTGTCTCCCCAGAGTTGGGATTAAAGGTATTGGCCACCATGCCCTGCGGGAGGGATTTTTTAAGTTAGATCTACAGGGAACTGGAAACATCTCTCTTTTGCCCCTTTCCTGACAGAGGGATGGAAAAGCTGTGTTAGAGAATATATCAGAGGATGGTAAAGAGCTCCCTGGTTGCCTTGGAAGACATCAGAACCCAGGTGAAGATGTGTGCTGGACCCATGAGGAAAGAGAACTCAACTTTCAGTTTGACCTCATATAGGAGGGGGCTGCCCTCCTCCCTCCACCAAGGACCAGACAGAGGAAGGAGATAGTCTGCACGGAACTGGGTATTGGCTGCAGGAGCTTAAGTATCTATTGAGGGAGGCATTTTTTTTTTCAGGGAATGGAGTCCAAGAAAAAGGGTTGTGACAGAGTTCAAACATCTTTCATACTTGAGGAGGAAGGGAGGTTCCAGGAACTCAAGCCCTCAGATGCTTGGGAGGGAAATTCTGATTCCTGCCTTACTTTTTTTTTTTTAAATTTTCGAGACAGGGTTTCTGTGTAGCTTTGGAGCCTGTCCTGGAACTAGCTCTTGTAGACCAGGCTGGCCTCAAACCTACAGAGATTAGCCTGCCTCCCAAGTGCTGGGATTAAAGGTGTTGCCTTACTTTCTTACTTACTAGGCCATGCAATAGAAGCTGGCTGGTTCCTGCTCCAGTATGCCCACAGAAAAGGTGATGCCAAACTTCAAATGCACATCATTGACAAGTTTCTCTTGTTGCCTTTCCACTCTGGATGGGATCCTGAGCACGGAGGCCTCTTCTGCTTCCAGGATGTTGATGGTCTCTGCCCTACCCAGGTGAGAATACCCAGAGCAACTTGCTTGTAACCTGGCACATAGTAGGGAAACTCAGAGCCAGGCATGGTAGCACACGCCTTTAATCCTTGGAGGCAAGAGGCAAAAGGATCTCTGTGAGCTTGAGGCCAACCTTGTCTACAGAGTGAGTTCCAGGACACCCAAGACAACATAGACCCTGTCTCAAAAAAACTAACAACAAAAATTTGAACCGAGTCCAGTTTTCTTCAGCCCATATCCTGTGATGGAAGAAGAGTGTGTGCAAATGCTGGTGCCGAAACACATGTCCCCTTTGTCTGGTGCCAGTGGCTGGAAGGGCTCTTAGGTGCTTCTCACTTTCTCACTCGGTGGCAGACAAGAGTGAAATTGTTCCTCTCATCAGTTGTCTCCGGATCCTGCTGAAGATCTTCAGAGGGTACTATACCAGCCGTGGGTAGCAGCAATGTCGAAGAAAGAAACTTAAAGATGATGTGGCAAGACAGACAGCATTCTGATTTGAGGGCTAAAGGGAATCTGCCCCAGTACTTTTCTTTTTAAGGAGCTGCTTAGAAAGCTATCCCTACTCTTAAGGACTATTCAAACTCTATCCCCTGTCTTATGATTTAAAACCAAGTCCTGAGTCAGTCAGACTGAGCCAGAACAGCGGATGTAAGTGTCCTTAAGGGGACCTCAGCTGCCTATCTCTGCTCTGTTCTCAGCTAGAATGGGACATGAAGTTGTGGTGGCCACACAGTGAAGCCATGATTGCCTTCCTCATGGCTTTCAGTGACACTGGGGACCCTGCCTTGTTTCAAATCTTCAACCAGGTTGCTGAGTACACCTTCAGCCATGTAAGTCCTGTCTCCTCGTTCCTTAGAAGCCCAGTTCAATATGAAGGGTATAACAGGCAGCAAGAGGGAGAAACGGGCTGTGTAAGGGAGTCCAATAGGTTTCCCCTCAGCCTCTCCTAGGGCCCATTCATGAGGTGTTGCTCTCAGCTGCTCTGAGAGTTCCAAGAAACCCTGCCTCAAGGAATTCACCTTTCTGGGTGGTCAGACTCTATAATCAAGTAAACAAGCAAATGTAGAGAAGAATAAGCTGTGGAAAACAAAGTAGACAGCAAATAATACAAAACTTTCTTATAGAGGGGTCAGAGAAAACCTTGTGAGCAAGGATCCAAAAGCAATGGAGGGCAGGAACATCCTTGATCTGCCAGGTCCAGCAGCCTGAGCCTTGACAGGGAATCCAACAGTTAGGATGTCAGGCTGGTGAATCACCAGTTGAACACTACCTCCCCACATGTGTACGTGTGCATGTATGAGAGAGAAAGAGTATAAGAGGTCAGAGGACAACATCAGGTGGTCCTCAGGCACTACATACCTTTTTTTTGAGACAGGGTCACTCACTAGCTATGTTGGCTAGCAGGCGAACCCTTGGGACCATCCTATGTCTGTCTCTCCAGTGGTGGGAGAGATCACCTGCCTCTGTCTCCTGAGTGCTGAGATTAAAGCTAGTTTGCAAGGCACTTTACTGACTCTTGGCCCAGCAGATGAGTTTCTGAGGCTGTCGTTCAGAGAGAGAAATTTGGCCTATTACAAATGCCTAATTGTCAATAAAAAAATGTAGGTGACTTGGGTAAGGTGGTTCATATCTGTAATCTCAGGCCTTGGGTGGAACTAGAAGATCACAGCAAAGAAGAGATCAGTCTGGTCTACATAGTAAGTTTAAGACTAACCAGCTACATATGGAAATCTTGCCTCAAACAAGCAAATAACAACAGCAAAAATAGTTATTATGTAGAGCCAGGAGCAAGGTGAGTTTTTTTAGTACAGAAGCTACAGAGAAGAGGGAATCAGGGCTAGTGAAGGAGACCAGAATCAGTCATGAAGTAGGAAAGAAAACAAACCAGGGACCTCCCGAGGACAGTGTACTTAAGTCTTTAGTGTTCTTAAACAGTGTACTTAAGTCTTTAGTGTTCTTAAAGACTAGTGGTATATTTCCAATGTCACTATTCTAGTGGTTATCCTACAACTGTAGCAGGGACTCCCATTCTATGGCCTGTGGCTTTGGTTCTAGAAGAAAATGAAAGTTTATGTGTGATTTTTTTTTTAAAGATGTCTTATGTAACCCAGGCTGGCCTCAAAACTCACTATGTAGCTTGTAACTCACTAAGATGACCTTGTACTTCTGTCCCTCCTGCCTCCACCTTGACTCCTGAGTGCTGAGATGACAGATGGGTGTACTATATCTGGCTGGTTTGTACTAACTGTAACTGAAATCCAGCATGGTTTTATTGTGATTAGAGGCAACACTATCCAAACCATGCTTCTATTACAGTGTATCTAAACAGGCAGCTAGAGCCCTCTCAGATACTCAGCGCTAATTACAAACATGAGCCATTAGGTTGCATCTCTGCCTGAATACTGAATATATGTGTTAAGGGAGTGAAATAGAAGTCATCAATCTTTTTTTTCTTTTCTTTTTTGGTCTTTCGAGATAGAGGGTTTCTCTGTATAACATTACTGGCAGTCCTGGAACTTGCTGGCCTTGAATGCACTGAGATCCACCTGCCTCTGCCTCCCAAATGCTGGGATCAAAGGTGTGCATCACCACTGCCCAGTTAAAGCCACCAATCTTAACCATAAAATGAAGTAAGAATGAACTTGAACAAGGTGGAGATGATATTAAACAATTCCAAGAGCCCATTGTGGTGTGCATCCTTGTAATCTTAGCAGTTGGGAGGCCAAGGCAGGAGGACTGTGAGTTCAAAGCCTTCCTGAGCTACTGTCTCAAATGAGAACAAAAAAAAAATTGCAAAAGTTATAATCAACATGTAGAGCTGGGTGGTGGTGGCTCACGCCTTTAATCCCAGCACTTAGGAAGCAGAGGCAGTCTGATCTCTGTGAGTTCGAGGACTGCAAAGGCTACACAGATACTGTCTCAAAAAAACTAGAAATGAAAGGGCATGGACCAGTTATGGTCCGTGTCTTTAGTTCCAGCAATGTGTGGCAGAGGCAAGAAGACTTCAGCTGGATTCCATGCCAACTTGAATCACATAGAAAGTTCCAGGGCAGTCAGGAATACAAGGTGAGTGAGACTCCTTCTCAAAAATAAATACATAACAAGGAGAAGACTAGTCAAAAGCTACGAACATTAGATACAGGGCTGCTTATCCCTCCCTTGAATACACTACCACCACTCTTTCTTGGACAGATTGTACTGCCTTGAACTTGAAGCAATTCTTCCTCAGCCTCCTGTGTCCTGGGATTATAGACATGAACCATTACACAGCTTAAAATCCACAACTCATATGTCACAATTTAAAGGAACATTTTGATAGTAAACTTGAATGCCTTCTAAGAGGGGGTTCTACTTAACTATTTTTTATCAGTGAGAACAAAATGGGAAGGGCTTAGGATAAGGACCTGGGCTACATTTTGGGGAACTGAAAAGCCTCAGTGAGACAGGTATGGGATAGGATGTACAATGAGTCTGTCCAGCCAGCTCAGCTGCTATCCCTCATATCTGAAGCATCAGAAGTGAGAAATATGTTCAGAACCCATGGTAAAGGTAGGCAGATGACCAGGTTGGCCTGAAACTTACAGCAATGTGTCAGCCTCTTGATGGGTGGGACTAAAGACATGTCCCATCACACAGGGTTAGAGGGAAGTCTGAGAGCCTGCTATAAAAACCTCAGCATGCGACGAACAGGAGTTATGTGTCTCTGCTTGATAATCCGAAGGTTTTTTCGACCAAAGGCCTGTGAACTAGAGGACATGAACTCCAGGGAAGTCACTTGTCTCAAACTTGCTGGCAGGATTCTTTGTTTCTTTCTCTCCCTCTCTCTTTTAACTTAGATGAGGTAAAAATGTGCCTGTTTTTAAGTATTCAAAGTGTTGGATAACACTTTGACTCCAATCAAACATAGAGCGCCTGCAGCCCCTTACCCCACTGGGTTACACAAGCTGGGAAGTCCTACTGCCTACCATCCTCAGCTTTCTTCTGAGATCATGCTTTCTGAACTCTGCTGGTAGCAGTGCAAAGGGGGCAGCAAGGGCCCCTTCCTCAGCCAGTGATATTCAGATGGGCCCTTCCAGGCACTAGCTTTCATTGTCTCCTTCCTTATCCTAGTTTCATGATCCTGAGTTCGGAGAATGGTTTGGCTATCTGAACCGAGAGGGAAAGGTGACCCTCAACATCAAGGGAGGTCCTTTTAAAGGTGAGCGGAGAGCGGGGCGAGGCTGCAAGGGTTTGTGACACCTGGCTGCCTGGGCCCTTCCAACTCTGGCATCCATTCTCCTCACAGGCTGCTTCCACGTGCCGCGGTGTCTGGCCATGTGTGAGCAGATTCTGGAAGCCCTGCTCCACCGCCTCGGGCCCGCCCCCGTCGTGTCCTCACCCGCTGTCCCTATCTGCGGAGGCTCGAAATAAATCTGACCCTGCTCCACCAGTTTGTGTGCACTTCTGTGGGCCCCGCGGGAGGGTACAGCTACTTCCCACGTTGCCCGCTTTGCCGGCCTTCGCCGTGGCCTCAAAGGCGCCACCTCTACAGCGCCCATTGGCTCTGGGCGCGCTCACTGAATGCAGTTTGGAGGTGGATCCCGTAGCCGCGCATTTCCGCTGCAGGCGGCTTGTAGCGGCCCACCCCTTCCGCCACCGCCCCCCTGGGAGCTTGGCCCCAGTCCCAGCCCCGGACCCTATAGTTCGTGCGGTGCTTCTGAGCGGCCGCTGAGCGCGCGCGTTCACGACCCACAAGGACCCGCGAGCTCCACCGCCGTGATGAACATCCGCAATGCTAGGGTGAGGTGATGGGGAGCCAGCCTGTCCCCACCGCATGGGTACCTTCCCGGGTGACCGCGTGCGCATGCTACTGGGGGACCTGGGAGCTGTGGCCCTACACGTCTGCGGCCGCTGGACCTTCAGGCTGCTGCAACCTGCTTTAGGCATCTCGCGATTATAGTCTCCCTCGTTTGCCTGATGTCAGGGCTCCATAGAGTGGGCTCCGCGACCTCCAGGTGCTGCTGCTTAGTCCTGGAATTGGCATCTTTTGCAGGGCGCATGGAAACCAGGCTTGTGCAAAGTCAATCACAACCCTGACCTTCCCGGGGGAAGGGGAAGGCCCAGAGATTAACAGAAAACAGGAGTCTCGCGTGTGTGAGGCCCTCTTAGTCACTGCAGTCTTGGACTAACCGTGTCCTGCTGTTATACAGCCCGAGGACCTGATGAACATGCAGCACTGCAACCTCCTCTGCCTGCCCGAGAACTACCAGATGAAGTACTATTTCTATCATGGCCTCTCTTGGCCCCAGGTGGGCAGCTTTTGTGTTTTGTAAGGGTGTAAGGGGCAACAGGAGCGAAACGTAGATCCTAGTAGGCTAAAAGCAGTGGGCAGTACCTCTTGGCACAGGGAGGCCCTGGCAAATGAAAAGGTGTATGTAGGGACTGTAAGCTAGACACAGGTTGGAGATGGGAATCCCACCTGTGCCTGTGCTCTTCCAAGAGAGAGCACACGTGTGGAGTATGGAAACTGGGCTCCTTGCATTGCATGTTGCCAACTGTCAGCACTCAACAATTTCTGCAGCTTCCCGCTATCCTACACATAGCAGGAGTTTGGTAGTGAGCTCTAGCCTGTTGCCTGCTCTGCCTGACTTCCTTTTCCTCTCTGTCACCAGCTCTCTTACATTGCTGAGGATGAGAATGGGAAGATTGTGGGGTACGTCTTGGCCAAAATGTGAGTCACCAAGGAGGAAGAAAAGAGTCTAATGCTACGACTGGGTGTTGAGGGGCTGGGGGAAAAGCTTTGGAGAAGGGGATGGGAAGTCAACGCCAGCCATGTCTGGTGAATGAGGGGTTCCCACTCTTTTGCCCAGATTAGTCTCAGACTTTTAGCAGTCTTCATGCTGTGCCTCCTGAATGCTGAGATTAACTATGCCCAGCTTGCTGTAAATTTTGTTTTTTTAATTAACAGGTTGCTTGTAGGGTAACTCTAAGTTGACAGAAAAATTGAGCAGAAGGTACAGAGTATTTCCACGCACCCTTCCTCCACATTTGTTCTCTCACTACCATGTATGGGACACTTAGTAGAAGTGAGAGACCAACCCAGATTTTGTTTAGATTCATGTTTTCATTGTTATGCTTCTGTCTGTGTTGCATGCCCTCTGAGTTGGACAATTGAAGAGTGTCTGTCCATCTTCAGAGTAGTCCGTCTTCCTCCAACCTACAACAATGAGGTCACCTTTTCAGAATGTTGCAGTGTTGTCTCCTTTCACTTAGTGCTTTGCATTCAGCACTACTCTCTTTTTAAAGATTTTTAATTTAGTTATTTTTATTTTATGTCCATTGGTGTTTTGCCTGAGGGTATGTCTGTATGAGGACATCGAATGCCCTGGAATAGAAGTTACAGACAGTGTGAGATGCCATGTGGTTGCTGAGAATTGAATCTGAGTCCTCTAGAAGAGCAGTCAATGCTCTTAACCTCTAGGCCATCTCTCCAGCCCCAGCACTACTCTTCTTGTGGCTTGGCAGTTGACATTTTTGGGGGGGTCAATCTCAGGGCAATGTTCTGTTAACACTGCACATATCTGGTGGGTGTAACATGGGCTTTATTCTGATTCAGAAGTTCCTAGATCTCTACCTAGATCTGGGGTGCTGTAGAGTCCTCCACAAATTGCACGCTTGCTGTGCACAGGTGTCCCTGATAGACTCCACCTGTACCAGGCTCCTTTTTAACTTTCTCCTCTAGGGAAGAGGACCCAGATGACGTGCCCCACGGACATATCACCTCACTGGTGAGTAGAGCTATGAGGGTTTGGCAGAGGTGGACTGGAGGTAATTGAACGCAGCCTCCAAGCTCCCACTCTACCCATCCTTCTTCTCTCAGGCTGTGAAGCGTTCCCACCGGCGCCTTGGCCTGGCTCAGAAGCTGATGGACCAGGCCTCTCGAGCCATGATAGAGAACTTCAATGCCAAATATGTCTCCCTGCATGTCAGAAAGAGGTGAAAGCCGAGTGGGGGAAAGGGCAACACCGGGGAGTGGGGAGGAAGAGTTAGCTAATTGGTAGGGATATTGGCGCTTGCTGCCTTCAGAAGATGATGGGAGGTAGCATTAGTGGGGAAGGTGGACCAGGAAGAAAGGCAGGGCCTGGCCAATATGCCTGGCCGAGTTTGTGAAGTTCAACGGTGCCTTATTCCCCTGCAGTAACCGGGCTGCTCTGCATCTCTATTCCAACACTCTCAACTTTCAGTAAGTAGATCGAGATTTTTTTTTTTTAAGTGGGATGATCCATCCATTTGGCTAAGGTGGACTGAGAAAGGGGTGGAGGGACTTCAGACATTGCTAGGAGGCCTTCTATATATTCAGTGGCTGTTTAATGGCAAGCTAACATGGAGAAGGCACCTACTTTCTCTGTGTGTGGGAGAGAAAGGGTTCAACTCATCTTGCTGGGTAGAGGAAGGATGGCTTGGTACTATTGAGGCTGGTGAAGGGCAATGAGTAAAGAACACACAAGGCTTCTTAGTGCTGGTCTAGGAGTAAAGAGAGAGAGGCTAGGGCACGAGCAAAGGCTGAGAAGTGACTGGGACTAGGAAGCATCAGGGGCAGATGAAAAGAGGTGGCAGAGAAAAAGGGCCATGAGCAAAAGCAATGAGGGACCGATAGCTCTGGATGTCTTGATGACTGATGGCAGCTCATCTTCATGAGCCGAGTATTGAAGAGAGGACCTGGCAGTACCTACTGCCACATAAAAGTGTGGCTGGGATGAACTGATTGGAGGATCCACTGAGTCACACTAGGCTTTGAGTGGGTAAAGCGAAGATGAGACCACTGGGACAGGGCAGTGGCCTTCAGGCTTTTCTGGGTTCAGTACCCAGATTCATGGAGGGCTCTTTGACCAAGTTAAGGATGCCTCTGGTGAGAACTGCTTAACACTCTTAAGTCAGCAATTCCCAGCTAGGTGTGGTGGTACATGCCTCTTAATCTCTGAATTTGATCTCTGGCACCCATGTATAAAAGCCATATACAGTGTTATCCTAGTGCTGAGGAGGTTAAGACAAGAGAATCGGAGGTTAAGATAAGATAATTCCTGAGTACACTAACCAACCAGCCTAGCTGAATGGGAGCAGTCCAGATTCAGTGAAGAGACCCTATTTTGAAAAAAAAAAAATAAGGTGGGAAGCAATTGAGGAAGATACCCAACATATACCTCTGGCCTCCACATGAACACATGAGCATGTGTACGCACACCAATTCTCTTGTCTTCATGTCTTAGGCTGACAAATACCTTTCTAGGCCATCAAATGGCATCCCTTCCACTGTCAGGGCTACTCAAGTGTGCACACACATCTCCCCTCAGCAGTAGTTCTGTGATGACCACCTACATGCAGGTACAGTGTTTCTCTTTCCTAGCAGAGGAACCAGCTGTATGTTCAGTAAATGACAGGAAGCAAGCAGGTCAGAGAGAGGAAGGAGGAGGCAGAAGTGAGGACTTCAACTCAGAAGACACAAGTCATTGCTAGTGAAGCTAGGGACAAAGTAGTGGCAAGTCCAGGGATGGGAAGTATCCTAGATGCTGCGTGATGCTTGGCTTTAGTGGAGAGAGCAGATAAAGCCATCATGGCTATTGGAAAAGAATCCATTCAAATGAAAAACAAAAAGAATAAAGAATCCATTCAGGCTGGCCTTTTGCTTTACACCCCCCCAAGGGAGATACACCCACCCTAGTAGCTTAAGAATCAGGAGAATTTGTCCCCATGCGTGTGTCTCTATCCTACCCTCAGAATCAGTGAAGTGGAACCCAAATACTATGCAGATGGAGAAGATGCATATGCAATGAAGCGGGACCTTACGCAGATGGCTGACGAGGTAAGAGTTCAGCCAAATCATCAGGCCAGCAGTTCCAGCAGTAGAGGGGATTTAGTACTTGGTAAAGACCTGTGAGTCAGGGGGGCAGTGGTGGCTGGAGGCAAGGCCAAGGTTGAGTGTCAGCCCTTGTAGCTATAGAGCTAGGAGTCAGAGCCCCTCTTTCCCTCACTTCGTAAACTGACAAGTAGGGACATGGCCTTGGTAGAGGCCATGGGATGCTCTCCAGGGAAGAAGCTCGGAGGTGGATGGAAGAGGAGACAGTAGGAAGAGATTTTTTTCTGCAAAGGGATTGGGACTACTAGGGTAAGGAGCAGTCATGGCTATCCTGCTCAGTTCTAGGACCAAACTGGGCTGGGGAGAAAGGGTCCCTGACCAAGCCTCCTGGGGGTAGAGAAATTAATGGGGGCACTACTGTGCTTGGGAGCTCCCCAGAAGTCCATTTGAGGGCAGCAGGACCCTTGTCATTTTACAAATGAGCAAATAGGCTTAGGAGCAGAGCTAGAATTGAACTGCATCTCTACCCAGTCCTATTTTCTGCGTGGCCCTACCACTTCTCACTGTGTCCCTTCCCCCAGCCAGCCCCAGGGCCTGGCTCCTCTTGTCTCCTGTCTGGAGACTTAGGCCCTGTCTCTTTCCACCCGCTTCCCTCTGGGCTCCCGGCGGCAGCTGAGGCGGCACCTGGAGCTGAAGGAAAAGGGCAGGCACATGGTGCTGGCGGCCATGGAGAACAAGGCGGAGAGCAAAGGCAGCGTGCTTCTGAGCTCGGGAGAGGCCTGTCGTGAGGAGAAGGGCCTGGCTGCTGAGGATAGTGGTGGGGACAGCAAGGACCTCAGTGAGGTCAGCGAGACCACAGAGAGCACAGATGTCAAAGACAGCTCAGAGGCCTCTGACTCTGCCTCCTAGAGCCTGCCCCACCTGTCCTCCCATGTGCTTTTACAATAAATGTCACCCTCGGGGAATTTGTGAATGTGCATACTAGGGCTGTGCTTCTTTCCAGCTCTTTGATGGCAGGGATATCATCTTAAGAACCCAGAGCCTACTGAACTCACCAGTCAAACAGATTGGGAGAATCTGGCCACCTTCAGCAACTGAGTTGGGTCGACAGATACACTAGCTTGGGTGCCCTATTCTCCTGTCACCTTCCTGGCCAGCAGGCCTCATTGCCTTCCTTCCTAATTTTCTAGGGCTAGACTAAATGATTTCTTGCGGTTTTCTAGTGAGCCTCGCGTTTCGGAGGCAACTTTCCCACCTTGATACTCTTTGCTTTGTCCTCTTATGTCCCGCTCTCAGCCCTTTCCCCAGTCATACTTGCTCTCACCTGCAGCAGCTCCGGTTCATACCTCCTGAATCCCAATGCCAACTACTTATTTTTCACTTATCTGGAGATGTCCTAGCTGGATCCTAGCTGGCCTATTTAGCTACCCACTTGCTTGGGCTTTTCCTTCTTCATTATCCCTGATTCTTTCCTCCATACCATCCCAACAGTCATTAAGTCCTGTCGGTTCAATCACATTAATACATTTTTTTTTAGAGAGGCTGGGTCTTTGTTGCCATCACACCCAGTTTATACAGTGCTGGAGACCTAACTTGGGACATCTTGGATGTTAGGCAAGCACTTTAGCAACTGAACCACATTCCTAGCCTTAACTGTTGGCCTCAAAGGTCTGGTCGTCTAAGGTGTTCTTTGCATACTGACATTCACTATTATCAGGTTTATTTTCTTTATTTTGTTTATTCAAAATAACAATGGGGGGTGAGTTTGAGACAGGGTTTCTCTGTGTAACCCTAGCTGTCCTGCAACTCGTTCTGTAGACCAGGCTGGCCTCAAACTCCTGCCTCTGCCTCCTGAGTGCTGGGATTAAAGGCGTGCGACACCACCGACCGGCATTTATTCATCTTTTTGAGATAGGATCTCCTTAGCCAATACTGGCTTGGAACTCATTTTGTAGTCCAGTTTGCCTCAAATTTGTGGTAATCCTCCTGCCTCAGGCTCCAAAGTACTGGAATTACAAGTGTGACCCATCCCGGTCAGTCCTCCCCCATTAATATTTGTTTTGTTGCTATGCTGAGACAGTTCTATGCAGTTACCCCAATGTCTTATAGCATTTCTGTGACTTTTGGTAATTACAAAAAATCAAATATAGCGATTTATTATAGTTTTGTATTGACTATAAACCCTCATGTCTCTTTCTCTTGCCCTCCCCCTCTTTTTTGCTTTTAGAGACAGTTTCTCTGTGAAACAGTTCTGATAGTCCTGAAACTCCCTTTGTAGCTCTGCCTGCCTCTGCCTCCCGAGTGCTGGGATGAAAGACCATGTACCATCACTGCCCTGCTCTTCCCCTCTTTTCTTTCATGGGTCTCAAGTATTTTAGGGTGGCTGCCAACGAATTTACTGTGTAGCCAAGTTTGGCCTAAATCCTAATCCTTTTGTTTTAGTGTTCCAAGTGCTGAGATTTCAGGTGTGAGACAACACTCCTGCCTTTTTTTTTAAGCTAAAAAAGCAAAAAGTGAGTTCACCTGATTCTCGAACGCTTTGTCATAACATTCTCTCCTAAACGTGCTTTCTGGCTTCTGCACCTGACATCTGAGCTGTCACTATACTCATAATTTCCCCGCTCCCGCAAGTGACACAGCGGACCATCGCTAGGTTGAATGATTTGTCCTGCATCTTAGTTCTTTGGTTGTGGAAATTATCCTTTAGAAACCGAAACAGCAGCTGGAAAATTACGCCTGCGCATGCTGTTCTCCCGCCCCTTCGCTACTTCAAGCGAAACTGCGTTCTGATTGGCCAGAATTACGTATTTCCCTTTGTACGAGTCGAGTCAGCGGCTCGTCCCGCCTAGCGTAGTGACGTCATCTTCCGGTTCACAAGCCGGTGACGTTGTTAGTTCCCAGACTCTGATTGGTTCTACAGCGCCAGAATAAAGGCCGCACGGCAGAACGGGCGGACGTACGCACTGCCTCCCCTGCGCCCCATAGTTGGTAAGAGGGAGCTAGGAGAGCCTTTTCCGCTCCGGCGCTTGAAGAGGCCCACCCTCTTGGGTGTCACTGGTGGCCTGCTGAAGCTCTTCTGTTCGCTCCGCCCCTAGTCGGTTAGGTTTTCAAGGCGGAGGTAGAATCTGGAGGGGGGAGCCGCAGGCCCACTAGGCTTTGGTGCCCTAGCACTTCCCCAGCTTCAGCGGCATCGGTCTCTTGAAAGTGCCGGCTTAAGTGCTTTGTGAGCTGAGGCTGGAAGATAGATTGTAGGGTGGCTGGGGTTGGCTCCAGGGACGCTTCTCCAGGATGTACCCTCACTGCCTAATATTTTTTTTCTCTCCGGAGTTCCCGCTGTCCTTAGGGTTCGTCTCATCTCCCTCTGTCCAGAGTAGCCAACCAGTCTGATCACATCAGCCATGTGATCAAAGTGAACATTCTTCCACGTCTTTAAAAAGTTCTTGCGGAACTGGAGAGATGGCTCAGTGGTTAAGAACGCTTGTTGCTCTTCCAGAGGACCAGGTTCGATGCCATGTGATCAAAGTGTACATTCTTCCACGTCTTTAAAAAGTTCTTGCGGAACTGGAGAGATGGCTCAGTGGTTAAGAACGCTTGTTGCTTTTCCAGAGGACCAGGTTCGATTACCAGCACCCACGTGGCAGCTCACAATTGTCTGTAACTCCAGTTCCAGGGGATCTGACATCCTCACGCACACAGATATATATGCAGGCAAAATTTCAGTGCACGTAAGATAAAAATTCTGAAAAATAAAATGAAATTTAAAAAAAGGTCTAGCAGCACTCTGGAGATAGAGGCAGGCAGCTCTGCAGCTCTGTGTGGTGTTTTTTTTTGTTTGTTTGTTTGTTTGTGTTGTTGAGTTTCTTTGTGGGTTTTTTTTTTTTTTTTGAGACAGGGTTCTCTCTCCTCCCTTCCTCCAACCCTCGCGCACTCTCTCTCCTTGCTCTCATTTTTTTTTGTTTTTAGTTTTGTTTTTCTGAGGCAGGGTTTCTCTATGTAGCCCTGGCTGTCCTGGAACTCACTCTGGACCCGAGCGCTGGGATTAAAGGCGTGTTCCACCACCTTCTGGCAGCTCTGGCTGTTTTAATTTTAATTTTCTATTGATTCTGATAAGTGCATAAGGTCAAATATATTAACCATTATGATGTCATGTTGAATATAAACAGTTGGATGCCTGACTGGCCTGCATAGTGAGACCCTGTCATAAATAAATAATCCTGTAAATCTAGCTCCTTTTAAAAATTTAGTTCTCTGGGCAGTGATGGCAGATGCCTTTTATCCTAGCACTCAGGAAACAGAAGCAGGCGGATCTCGAGGCCAGCCTGGTCTACAGAGCAGGTTCTAGGACAGACTCCAAAGCTACACAGAGAAACCCTGTCTTGAAAACAAAACAAAAATATCTAGTTCTCTTTTTGTGTCTACATGTGTGTGTGTGCGGGTTCCCTCAGAGTACAGAAGTGGGCATTAGATCCTCTAGAAGTGAAGTGTTAACGTAGTTGTGAGCTGCCTTTGGATTCTAAGAACTCTGCCCTCTGGAAGAGCTCTTAACCACTTGGAACCATCTCCATTGTCTGTCTTGTTGGGTTTTGTTTTTGTTTGTTTTGACAGAGTCTCCATATGTAGTCTTGATCTCTGCCTCTAGGTGAGCATCACCTTGCCCAGCTTATCTGATTTTTAAGACCTGGTCTCACTCTGTAACTTAGGCTGGCCTGGAAGTCACCCTGCAACCCTGACTTACCTCTGAGACAAAACTCTCACCTTGCCCAGCAGGCTTTTGGATTTTTAAAACAGGAGCTAGCCAGGTGAGGTCATGGTGCATGCCTTTAGTTTCAGCACTGGGAGTCAGAAGCAAGCAGATCTCATGAATTCAAGGCCAACCTCGTCTACATAGCAAGTTCCAGTCTGACTAGAGCTGCTGAATGAGACCTTGTCTCAAAAAGCTCAAGAAGGGAGCTGAAGAGAAGGTTCAGTGATTAAGAGCATTTGTTGCTCTTACAGAGGATGCGAGTTCAATTCTCAGCACTCACATGGAGGTTCACAATCATCTGTAATTCCAGTATTTAGGATCTGAAACCTTCTGGTCTCCATGGGTACCAAGCACACACACACAAATTGCACATACATACACACATAAAAGCAAAACACATGAAGTTAAATTAATATAAATCTAATAATATTTTTTAAAGTCAAGAAGGAACAGACGAGGTGTGCTGGCACATGCCTTTAATCCTAGCATTCAGGTGTCAGACTCAGGCTAATTCCTGTGAGTTCGAAGCCAGCCTGGTCTACATACTGAGTTCCAGGACAGCCAGGGCTATACAGTAAGACCCTGTCTCAAAAAAAATGGGGGGCGGGGAAACAGGAGCAAACAGTACAAAAAGCAGCTTTACTCATGGCTTCAGATGCCAAACAAGTGTCCTCAGAACCAGGGCAATCACTCAAGTTTTCTGTTTTGCTTTTCACTCATTTTTATGCAAAGGGGACACCATTCAGATTCCTGGAGTTAGAACTGAGAATATTTGAAGGCTAGTTCAGTAGCCATTTCTTGTGTGCCTGATTCCTGAATTCTGCCCTGGCCAGGCCCTGGGTGGGTGAAGGACTTCTGAGGATTAGTTAAGGCTCAGATAGAATGAAAGCCAGGCAGGGTGGGTTGCTTTAACAAATAAGGTCATGGGTGCCTGGTTTCCCTTAGTAGGAGGCACTGATAGAGTGTCTCCTGACAAAGCAAATTCACATGGATGGATGCTCATTCATGTGCTGTGAGAAGAGATACAGACTTGCTTGACTTGATGGAGGATTCCAACATTGCTACTTCTGATGCCAGCTTCTGGAAGTCCAGGACCTGGGCCTATCAACATCTAACTAGCCTCTAGACCTTTTCTTCAAGGCTCTTTTAGCACCTAGCAGCATCTTAGAGAAGGGCTTCGGTACTGGGAGTGAGTAGAGGCCAAGAATCAAGGGAGGAAGTAGTCTTTCTGGCCGAGAGAATTGATTGCACACTTTTGAAGGGCCAGAATGGTCTCCCTATCCTACCAAAGCTCCGGGTCGGTGGCACGCGTGCTCACATGCACTTTGCCATCCATGCGTGCACATACAGGTCCAGACTCCTTTTGTATTTTAGTACCTTGCCTGTCTTTCATCATCTGTATACCCCAGGGCTTTCTCTCCAACTAGAGACAGGTGGGCCAATGGCTTGTCACCTGTCTCCTGCCTTCTCAACAGCCTGGTGTGATTTTGCACACCTGTAGTCCTCGCACTTGGGGCAAAGGCAGAAAGATTGCCTCAAGTTTGAGGCCAGCCTGAATTGCATAAGGAGTACCAGGCCAGGCAGGGCTACAGAGTGAGGCCCTATCTCAACAAAACAAAACATCACAAACTGATGGGTAAGTAGGTCTTGCCCTCTGACTTAGAGTTGGTGGGGGTGGAGCAAAGCCCCATTATCTCTGGATAAAGGAGGCAAAGGAGTTGCTCCCAGCCTGTCTCATAGCCCCCACCCTATAGGCGCAACACAGAAGGGAAAAAAGACAGAAAGTCTCTTCCGGCAGCAGGAAGTGGTAACTACCTATGGGGAAATGAGGCTAGTTCTTTCCTTTGGGGCTGAGTAGAAGGGGAACTGTGGCTGAACACTGCTCCCTCCCCCTCAGGGGGCCCAGAGGGAACTTAGGCTTGCTGCAGTCCTCTGGGGAACTTCCCATCAGCTGTCAGGACTCCCTTAGGCCTCACTCAGTACTGTGACTCCGGGAAGGAGGGTGGCATCTGATGTCCAGGGAGGCTGCGGGGAGGCAGGCTGCCTAGGGGCAGTCTTGGGCTTGGAGCAGCTATGGCGCCATTGTCCATTGGTATTGAGGGCCAGTGGTCTTAGGAATGTGGTCTGACACTGGGGACCACATATAGCTTTCTGCAGATGGTGAGGAACAGCAGCAGGTGGTCCCAGACATGTTGGGGCTCTCTTGCATTGGCTGCTTTATGCTGAGCCTTAGGGCTCAAGGTGATCTAGGTAGGTGAGCAGAGGAAGGAGGAAGACAGCCTGACTCAAGAGCTGTGCACCTGGAAAGGGGCGCCTTGTCCTTCTGAGGCCCACCCGAGCAGCAGGCAACTCTTGGTCTAGGTCGCTCCGCCCCTCCGGGGGACCTGCTGGGGGCGGGGCGGGGCGGGGCGTAGCTAGTGGAGGGTGCTGGTCTTGGCGCCCCTGGTCCCTGTGCTCGGCGGTCTTGCCTTGCCGCAGCGTTGGAGCATCCGGACTTGAAGGTGTGATCAGCCCTCGGCCATGGCGGCGCACGGGAAGCTGCGGCGGGAGCGGGGGCTGCAGGCTGAGTATGAGGCACAAGTCAAAGGTGAGAGGGCGCTTTGGGCCTGGTCTACTGTAGAGACCCCGAGTGTCTGCTGTTGATCTTCAGACATCCCCGGAACGGGGTGGAGGAGGGAACCCAGGCCCTGCTTCTTGGAGCCTCTTTGGCCTCAACTGCCTGCCCATGCCCTCCCTCCGTCCTCTCTACTCAACTTGGGTCGCCTGCTGCTCACTCAGGCAGCAATGACTCTGGTAGCCTCAGGGAAGGACAGACTGAGGGTGGCTTTATAGCCGGAGTGTTTTGGGCCACCTTGACTTTGCTGGTGGCCTGACACCTCATTCAACACCACTAGAATCCATGAAGCTTTAACACCTTTGCCTCCCTTTGACTCTGAAGTAGCTTGCAGGTTAGGGTTGTTGACCCTGGGTCAGGCTGGAAGACTGGATTAGAGAAGTCCAGCTGTACTGACTTTATAGTCTTAGGATATTAGATCTCTGGATTCTGGCAACCACATTGATGCAAATCACATGCAAATTAACTTTGTAAGTTCTTAACTGACAGCTTCATTTCTTCAGGGTGTGGTAGGTAACTCTCGCACAGGAAAAGAGGCAGCATCTAACCTCCCACCCCCACCCCAGTTTCTTGTTTCCAGATGTCTGACTCCCATTACCACACTCAATGGCTCTATATTTTATCTATTGTGGATACAAGCTCAAAGAAGCAGTATCATATGCAACAGCTCCCAAAAAGAGAAATGAAATAACCCTTGGAGTTTCCCAACCTGTAGATGAAATTCCAGTGCACTTATTTGGTGCAAGCAATTTATACTAAAGTGTGTCTTAGTGATGTATTACTGCTATAGTGGTGAGCATAGCTACCTTTCAAAGTTTGACCCAGTCCTCTTGGTGTCCAGAGCCAGCTTGAGGTAACAGCAGAGGGTGAGCCAGGAGGTGGAGACAAGGATCTCCTCCTACTTCCTCAAAATGTCGAGAAGCAGTTGGGCGGTAGTGGCACATGCCTTTAATACCAACACTCTGGGAGACAGAAGGAGGCAATTCTCTGAGTTCCAGACTAGCCTGGTCTACAGAGCAAGTTCCAAGACAGCCAGGGCTTACATAGAAACCCTGTCTCAAAAAAAATCCAAATAAACAAAACAACAACAACAAAAATTGTGACGCCCAAGGACCTTAAAAAGTCTTCAATCAGCAAACACAGATCAGTTAGTTCCTACTAAGAAACTGGAGTTCGGTACAAGACTGTCTTTAAAATGACCGTTGCTCATTCAGGGTGTCTGGGTTTTTGTGGCTTTTATTTCTTGTGCCCCTCCCTCAAAAAAAGAAAAAAGGTCTTCCATCAATGCTGGAACAGAGGCACTGCCTTCACACTTTAAATTCTGAAAGGTCAGCATGGTCGCGGTTTAGAGGCCATCTATTCTGCTCTACTGGTCAGCAGAAGTGAGAGTGAATGCCTGGTTCACAGGAAGTGCTGGAGGGGCCTGGGTCCCAGCTTTGCAATTCAAATATGCAGGATTTCTCACTTCTTTTTGTCAGCTGTTCTTTGGGTGGGTGGGATTGGAGTTTGAGTATGTAGCCCAGGCTAGTCTTGAACTCATTATTTTACTCAAGCTGGCCTGTAACCTGCAGCATCCTCTGCCACAACGTTCCAGGACTGGGATGACAAGTCTGTGCTACCATATTTTTTAAACACACCTGTTTTGCTCTAGACTCTGGAAATATCTTATTGTATAGAAGAGAATTTGGTGGTTCACAGGCCTGAGGAAAGCAAAATTGCACACAGCTGATTTCATGTATGGTGACAGCCACTGCAAAGGATGACCAAAGTGCCAAGAGTACACTGGGGTTAGACAAGGACCAGAGCTAGTTTGGTAGGAGATCAGGGTTCTTTGAGCTGAAATCAACCTGGAGACTTCAGGCAGCACTTTCCTGCCCTGTGTGGACCTCAGATGCAATTGATTTGCAATCTATAGCTCCTTGACACTGTCTAGTGTGCATGTTCAGAACAGGAAGTGCTGTTGCTACTGGTAGAGAACCCACACAATACTGTGGTGCACTTGGCACTGTGTAGCTAGAATAGGTCCCTCCTTGGATAACACATCCTTTTTGGAGGGCAGGGCAGCCTACAAGGAAGGGTATGCTGGATATTCTTGAGACCCTGCTTGTTATGAACTTAAAATGCCATTCTTCAAACCCTTTTAGTCTTATTTAGTGGAGACTCCCCTGATTGAAGTCAGCAGCATTAGCACTCATTCTAATGAGTAGCTGGCACATACTACTTCAGCCACATGAGGCTGGTGACAGTGACACTTGGTATTGTGGGCTTTGCTTTGGCTTCAGTGTTGGGAGTTTCCACATACACACACCAGCTTCCTTCTGCCTAACTTGTCCCCTTGGTGGAAATTTAGCGATTACAGTGACCAGTGGGTGGGATAGAAGGCTGATGAGTAGGTCATGCAAGCAGGTGGATCTGGAGCCTCTGGACTCAGGGAAAGAAGTCAGTCCCACCATAGAGTGGAGTCTGAGAACCAGCAACAGACATACTGAAAAAGGAAATCAGAAGGGAAGATGGGGACTTCTGGGCAGGAGATACCTAAGGAGGCCTTTCATCTCATAGCCCCAGGAAAGTCATTGTCAAGACAGTTCACCCATTCTGATCTCTTCATATTGACTTTCTTTTGAACAGCTACCCCAAGACTTACCTTTCAGACTGGCTTCCTGGTCCCAATACCCACCATCTTTTTCTTAGACAAATGTAATAACTGCCCCTTGGGCTGTACACAGTAGCCATAGGGACCCTGAAAATGAAATGAGTCCACAGGGCTCTACCCCATGGCTTATCTCTCCCTGGGCATCTTGCCGGAATCCTGGACCACAAGCTTTTGGTCATCTGTTCCTCTCCCCTCCTCCCAGATTCCTCCCCTTTGCTGTTTGTTTGTTTGTTTGTTTGTTTTTCAAGACAGGGTATCTCTGTATGACAACTCTGGCTATCTTCATACTTGCTCTGTAGACCAGACTGTCCTCGAACACACAGAGATTTGCCTGTCTCTGCCTCCTGTGTCCTGGGATTAAAGGCATATGTCACCATTGCCTGGCTTCCTGTAGCTTTTTGTATACTTTTTTAAAGGCAGTGTCTTCTATAGCCCAGGCAAGCCTCAAACTCACAGTGTAGCCAAAGATGATCTTGCATTTTGGATATTCCTGTTTCTACTTCTTGAGTATTGGGATTGCCACCGTACTTGGCCTGTGTGTGCATTTTATAAGCTCCCATCATTGTTCCTTGTCATTCTACCATGGCTCTGTGTCCCCCCCCCCCTTCGCTATGGTCCCAACTCCAGAGGAGCAGGCACTGTGTCTAAAATATGCCTGGAATGAAACAGATATGAAGTCACCATTCTAATGAAGAAATCAATTAGTGTTCTGCTCTGAAGATATGACTGAAGACCTATCTGTGGACATGCTACTTCCTGGAAGCCAAGACAGTGTGTTTTTGTGTTTGATGTAATGGTGTGTGGGTTGAGGTGCTCAGCTGGGTCTTTGGTGTGGGGGTGTGGGGCATAGTGTTGCTATCATCTTGCAAGACAGGCAGTTTTTGCTTGAGATATGGGTGAGGGAAGAAGTATTGCTAAATCAAGCCAGAGATAAGATGTCAAAAGGCCAGTGGTGGTGTGGGTCCCTCAGCTATAACTCCCTTGTAGAACAGAGGAAAAACCCCGGGGTGGGTAACTTCCAGTAGAAAACAACAAACAGAAGCCAGGCAGTGGTAGCACATGCCTTTAGTCCTAGCACTCGGGAGACAGAGACACATGAATCTCTGTGAGTTCCAGGCCAGCCTGGTCTATACAGAACAAACTACAGGACAGGCTCCAAAGCTACAGAGAAACACTGTCTTGAAAAACAAACAAAAAGAAAAGAAAACAACAGACAAAAACTTAGGCCAGTCCCTTTCCTCCTCAACCTTGACTGAAACATTCGGCCAAGGCCCTTCTTACCCCTTCTTACTATGGGACCGGTTTTACCTGGCCTGAAGACCCTGAAGGCCTGGTCAAGTGCCACAGCAGTCCTGCCACTGAGCAACTTCTTGTGTCTGTTCAGAAGCCACAGCACAGAGTTTTCTGCCTCAGGGCCCTTCCCAAGTGCACAGGGGCTGCCGAACCTGGGTACCTTGCTTTTGGGCACACTTCTTTCTTCTGCCTTTAGTTCCAGCTTGTTCAGTCGGGTGCCAAGGAGCCTTTGGTGTGGACAGAATGACTGTCCTTGCCTCTCCTACCGCTTGCTGATCTGGTTGGTTCACGCCATGCATGTTGACCAGGCCTTAACCGAGGTCCCCTTGCAGGGATGCGCTGGCAGTTGAGTGAGCAGCTCCATTGCCTGGAGCTTCAGGGAGAGCTGCGGCGAGATTTGCTGCAGGAGCTAGCTGAGTTTATGCGGCGCCGGGCAGAGGTGGAGCTGGAGTACTCTCGGGGCCTGGACAAGTTGGCTGAACGCTTTGCCAGCCGCAGTGGTCGCCTAGGGGGCAGCGGCCGGGAGCAGCAAAGCTTCCGGTAGGTACCGCACAGACAATAGTGCCTTGCTGGGCCTGAGACCTAAGCTCCCTGGTCTGAGTATTCCTCTGTTACAACAGGAAGGAGCCGACTCTCCTGTCACCCTTGCACTGCTGGGCTGTGTTGCTGGAGCATACACGGCAACAGAGTCGCGAAAGTGCCGCCCTCGGCGAGGTGCTGGCTGGGCCCCTGGCTCTGCGCCTGAGTCATATTGCTGAGGATGTGGGACGCATAGTCAAAAAGGTAGAGTCACACAAGTTGTGGAAGGCCTCAGGATTTAACAAAGCCCATGGGGATCTAACTGTGTTTGAGAGGCATGGGAGGCCAGGTGGAAGTTGCAGCCCAAGGTCGGTTTGTGCCAATCTCAGGTGGGATGGATTGTCACAGGATGATGGGAAGCACTAAGTAGGGTAATGCTATAGTCACACATATCCCTTCATCTCTAGAGTAAGGACCTGGTGCAGCAGCTGCAGGATAAGCTCCTGGAGGTGGTCTCAGAACTCCAGACAGTAAGCAGGACCCACTGTGTGCTAATCAGGGGGAAGCAGGAACAGTCCCAAGCCATTGCATCTCCTAGTCAGGTTCAAGAGAATGGATGCTCAGGGATGACCTGAGTCGGGCGGTGGGGAGGGTGGCAGGCATGGGCTGCTCTATGCTCTGGGGACAGAGTGGTTAGATGATAACATACTTAGGTGAAATGGCCCAACCCTCAGATCTGAATCCCAGGGTGGCTGAGGGGTACTGTTCCTGGTCATGGCCTTCATCAGGACTGCCTTACCTGGGCTTCTCTGCAGACCAAGAAGACATATCATGCATACCACTTGGAGAGCGTGAATGCTGAGACCAAACTCCGGGAAGCTGAGCGGCAGGAGGAGAAGCGGTCAGGCCGGAGTGCCCTGCCCGCCACCACAGCTGCCTCTGCCAGTACGACAACTACTGTCACCACCACTGAAACAGGACCCCTCCGAAAGAGCTCTCTCAAGAAAGGAGGGCGACTAGTGGAGAAGGTGGGCCTGGAAAGCTGTGGGCCCCCCTCCCTCCAGCTCTGGTTCCTGGCCTTTGTCCCTACAAGCTCTTGATTGTCCCTGGGGCAAAAGAGTGTGGGGGGGAAGAACCATAGGCCTCCAACAAGATTCTTCCTTCCTGGTCAGACTTGATGGCTCTGGGATGTGGAAAGACAATGCTATAGAGATTTCAACAGACCTGAAAGATGGGGAAAGACAATCATAGTGTCAGGACAGACTGATTCTATCACATTAGTTCTAAGCATGTTGTCCCATAGCCCTGCCAGAGCAGAGAGCTGGAGTACTCTAAGCCTGGAGGACTTTTCCCTAGGAGCACAAGAACTCAGGATGAGTGAAGGACTGGGTGCCATTCTGAGAGAAGCATTCATGGAGAGGATGAAGAGGCTCCAAACTGAGTGGAACTGACGGCAATGGCTTTTGTTTTGTGCCACCCCCATGTGGAGCCTAAGTGGCTTTCTCATACATTTTCATAGCTCATACCTCTGTCATGGGGTCTGAATACGAATGCCTTTTATTTAGCTATCTTTTCCATGTGACCCACTTCCATTTCTTTGGAGAATGACGGTGGGGCGTGTTAGGGACTCAAACCAAGGCAAGGGTAGGGGTGGGGAGATCAGCCCTTGCCAAAAGGTCAGAAGTAGCCAGTGAAGAGGTAGGGAGTCAAGACAGGTTCTGGGAGTTGAGTGGGGGACCCTGTGCACAGTAGAGCTGAGCACTGAGGGTGCACCAAGGATTGGTATATGGCAGTGTTTTTTGGGTTTTTGTTGTTTTGTTTTTTGTTTTGATTTTTCGAGACATGGTTTCTCTGTACCTTTGGAGCCTGTTCTGGAACTAGCTCTTGTAGACCAGGCTGGCCTCGAACTCACAGAGATCCGCCTGCCTCTGCCTCCCGAGTGCTGGGATTAAATGCGTGTGCCACCACCGCCCAGCGGTATATGGCAGTGTTAAGAAGTTCATAATGAATTAAGCATAAGGGACCTGTGGCACATTGGTCATGCTTTTCAGCAGAGGGAATGGGAACAATTGGTCTCCAAATGGGTGGCCCTGATGAGCTTTGGTGTCTTGAGCAGCGTCAGGCCAAGTTCTTGGAGCATAAACTTAAGTGCACGAAGGCCCGAAACGAGTACCTGCTCAACCTGGCCAGTGTCAATGCTGCCGTCAGAAACTACTACTCACACGATATTTTGGACCTCATGGATGTAAGTCCTGTGTGGGCAGGCAAATGGGGTCATGGTATTGGAGCTTAAATGCTTGGACCATTGGCTCTGGCTCCAGGCCCACAACAGTATCTGCTTGCTTCTTCCCAGTGCTGTGACACAGGTTTTCACTTGGCCCTGGGGCAGGCCATCCGGAGCTACACAGCTGCTGAGAACCGCACCCAAGCCTGCCAGATGCAGGGATTGGGCAGCCTGGAAGAGGCTCTGGAGGCTCTGGATCCTCCAGGGGACAAGGCCAAGGTGCTTGAGGTTTATGCCATGGCCTTCCGTTCCCCTGAACATTTTGACTACCAGCCCCATGAAGGTGATGAGGTGAGGGTCAGTTTATTCCACCCCCTGCCCTGGCTACCCTTACAGCCCAAGCATGATTTCAAAGGGCTTTACATTCTCTGGACTTCATGCTAATGTAGGTCAGTCACATAATTTACACTTTGATAAAACAAAACAAACACAGGGCAGCCCCAGCATCCAGATCTTCACCATGGCTGTCCGTACATTGTATTCATTGTACAGTATACATTGAACACTCTTTGTAGCCATGCATGCCTTTCATCCTAGTGCATGTCAGTCATCCTAGCACTGGGGAAACTAGGGCAGAAGGATTACCCTAAGTTTAAGGCTACCTAGACTACATAATGAAGCCCACAGCTTGGGCTTCAGTGTAAAAAAATCTGTCTACAAATAGACAAATGGACGACATCAACAACAACAAATTTCATAATAGATACTAGTAAGGAAGTATAGAATGCAGCATCCTCCCTCCCTTCCTCCCTCCCTTTCTTCCTTTCCTCTCTCTCTCTTTCTTTTTTGGTTTTTCAAGACAGGGTTTCTCTTTATAGCAACACTAGCTATTCTGGAACTTGCTTTGTAGATCAGGCTGACCTCAACCTCAGAGATTCACCTGCCTCTGCACAGGTGGTTGTGAGCCACCTAACATGGGTGCTGGAAACTGAACTCAGGACCTTGGGGTGAACAGCAAGTTTTTTAATGATAAAAAGGTAAAACATTATTTCTGCTGTTACCAGGTGCGAAGTTCAGTGATGTGAAGCACATTTACATTGCTATGTGACTGTCACCCTGTCTCTTTCTAGACTGTTTATTTTCTTAAACAGAATTTGTCCCTATTAAATATTTAGGTCTCCATTGCTCTCCTTCAAACTTCTAGAACTCACTATTCTGCTGGCTCTGTGAACTTGGCTACAGCACTGACACATAAAGGTCTCTCACAGCAGTCAGCTTCTACATTTGTCTTGTAAGGACTGGTTCATTCTGTTCCTCAAGGTTCATCTATCCTGCAGCACATGTCCTTTTTCCATATGACTTAAACATTATGTATTCCTTTGTATTGGTATTTAAAACTTACTGAAGATACAAGTCATATCCTTGGCAGAGACTGCAGCTCAGCTGGTAAAGTGCCTAGCTAGCATGTCTGAAGCCTTTGGTTCTCTCCCCAGCACCCCATTAACCTGGCATGGTAGCCATCCTGTCATCCTAGCACTCAGAAGTTGGAGGCAAGCAACAGAGATGTACCCTGTTTCTTCAGGCCTGTTCTTCCTCCTCATCTGAGGTCTGTGCCCTGGCCTAGTCCTCCTCAGTCCCTGGTACTACCTTCTTCAGGTGGCAGAGATCCAGGTTGAGATGGAACTTCGGGATGAAATTTTGCCCAGAGCCCAAAACATCCAGAGTCTCCTGGACCGAAAGACCATCGAAACAGAAGAGGCATGAATGGACGCGCCTGGGGTGGGGATAGGCCTTAGAGCTTTCTCTCAGCTTCAGCTGCCCAGACAGTTCCTTCCTAGCTGGCAGTAGCTTCCCTTTTCTCTTTCTGAAGATTTAGGCTTCTTTCCTCCCATGCTATCCTCTCTCACTGCGTTGGCACTCTCCCTTCAGGTGAATAAGACACTGAAGGCAACACTTCAGGCTCTGCTAGAGGTGGTGGCATCAGAGGATGGGGACATACTGGACCCTTTGCAGGCCAGCCCTTCCACTGAGTCCCTCAAGTCCACAAGCTCAGACCCAGGCACCCGACAGACAGGCCGCAGACGGAGTCAGCAGCAGGAGACAGAAACCTTCTACTTTACGGTGGGGCTGGATAGGCAGGACAAGGCCATAAAGGGCAGCAGAGGGAAAGGGGGCTGAATTGGGTTCAAAATAGGGACTCTTCTTTGGGTTTTCCAGAAGCTGCAGGACTATCTGAGTAGCCGGAGTATGCTTGCCAAGCTGCAGGCTAAGCATGAAAAGCTGCAGGAGGCCATACAACGAGGTGCGTCCTGCTCCAGACACACCCTCTCTAGGGCCCAAAGCTGCCCTGCCCTCCCTCTGACCTGACCCATGTTCTTTCCTGACCAGAGGTTGTTTGGCATACAGAAACTAACCCAGCCTAAGTGTACTGACTTCTCTCCTACCCCTTGGTCCTTTGACTATCCTGAGCTTTCAGTCCAAGCCTCCTCTCTCTGGGGTTAATTGAAGATCTTCAGACTGAAAAACAGACCAATATTTTCTCCTTTCCAGGTAATAAGGAAGAGCAAAAAACATCTTGGTGAGTCCTTGATGAGGCCTATTTAGAGGTCCCCGTCTTCCCTATTCTTACTCCCCAGCTCTAGCTCTACTGCCAGCACCCTGTGGCCTGGCTGGGTTAGGGATGGGAAGACTTCTCCATGGCATATTCCCCTAAGAGGCAGTTCCCATTCTTCTCAGGACCCGGTGCACAGAGAGAAAATTCCACAAGAGCCACCATCCCCGCCCTACCTCCCAGTATAACCAGAAACTCTTTGGAGTCGACCTGGAGAAGTTTATCCAGGTATTTGCTTTGCCCCACACTCCAGCCACTGAAGGCTCTCCCTATTCCTTCTGGTCTTTTGCCAGCCTTGGTGGCCCAAGCAACTGCCTAATCCCAGAACTCTCTAGTCCCAACCTTCCTGGGCGTAGCTCAAGCACCTCTCCCTATGCACGCCACTTGCCAGTGCTGCTGAGGGCTCCCTGGGCTTCCTAGTGACATGTACCAATTAAAGGAAACTATATTTTTGTTATTATTGTTTACTTTTGGTTTTTGAGACAGAGTCTCTTTTTTATTTTTATTTTTTTGAGACAGGGTTTCTTTGTAGCTTTGGAGTCTATCCTAGAATTAGCTCTGGCCTCAAACTCATAAAGATACGTGTGTCTCTGCCTCCTGAATGCTGGGATTAATGGCATGCACCACCACCACCCAGCATTAAAGGGAACTCTTTTTTAAAATAATTTATTATGATTTATTTAACTTTATGTGCATTGGTGTGAAGTTGTCAGATCCCCTGGAACAGGAGTTACAGACAGCTGTGAGCGGCCATGTGGGTGCTGGGAATTGAACATGGGTCCTCTGGAAGAACAGTCAGTGCTCTTAACCGCTGAGCCATCTCTCCAGCTCCCTAAAGAAACTCTTTTTTTTTTTTTCCAGTTTTTCCAGACAGGGTTTCTCTGTCCCTTTGGAGCCTGTCCTGGAACTAGCTCTTATAGACCAGTCTGGTCTAAAGGAACTCTTAAGGAACTCAGAAAACCTGGGGCTCTAGGAGTTAGAGAGATAGCTTAGCAGTTAAGAGCACTGACTGGCCTTCCAGAGGATCCAGGTTCAATTCCCAGCACTCACATGGCAGCTCATAACTGTCTGTAATTCCACTTCCAGGGGACCTGACACCTTCACACAGATATAAATGTGGGCAAACACAAACACCAATGCACATAAAGTTTTTAAAAATTAAATATATACTTAAAAGAGAAAAAAAGAAAACCTGGGGCTGTAACATTTTTAGGGATAAGGTGTTGAGGATTCTACCCTGTGGTTAGGATCAGCACAAGATGCTTATAGGTCATACTTCTTGCCCGTATGACCTTGACAATTCTAAACAGAAAAAAATGCAGCAGAGTTCTGACAGAGCCAGGTGTGGTGGTGCGGCCCATAATCCTAGCACTTAATGGGCAGAGGCAGAAGGATCAAGAGATCAAGGCTAGCCTTAGCTACATAGCAAGCATTAGGCCAGCCTGGGATTAATGAGGTGTTGACTCAAAGGGAAGGGAGGAGAAATAACAGCATCATTTGCAATCATCCCATTATGTACCTAGAGCATCCATAAGAATCAGAACATTTAAATGAGCAGATATAAGTTCTGGTGTGTTCTTTGACTGCAAGTCACCATCTAAATTTGGATTGCCTTATTACACTTGCAACTATTTGCAAATAAAAGTGCCACTTAAATGGCACCAGCGAATCAGTTTCTTCACAGAGATTCAATAAATTCCACTATAACACTATTAAGAGAAAAGTGATAGAATGGCCAGGGAACTTGCTGTGTCCTAGTAAAATAAATGTGTTCTCTGTTACCAGAGCTCAGGTCAACCTGTGCCCCTTGTCGTGGAGAGCTGTATCCGTTTCATTAATCTCAATGGCAAGTATAGGCTATCTTCTGTCTCCCTGGCACTGGGTATTTGTGGGAGAGGGGATTCTGCCTGTCAGCTCCTTGTCTTTCATAGGCCTGCAGCATGAAGGCATCTTCCGGGTGTCGGGTGCCCAGGCCCGTATCTCCGAGATCCGAGATGCCTTTGAAAGAGGTGAGGACCAATAGATAAGTGTGGCAGTGGCTTCAGTAGGCACAAGTAACCTCATTTTACCATGTTACCCTCCATAGGGGAGGACCCTCTGGTGGAAGGTTGTACTGCTCATGACCTAGACTCAGTGGCTGGGGTGCTGAAGTTGTACTTTCGGAGCCTGGAGCCCCCACTCTTCCCTTTGGACATGTTTAGTGAGCTGCTGGCTTCAGCAGGTAAAGCCTGAGGCCAGATGGGTAGGAGGGCCACCTGCTAGTGGATACAAGTTTACTTGGTCTGCTCTCTTGGACTGTCTTGGCCGCAGAACTGGAGGCTGTGGGAGAGCGCATACAGCCTGTGAGTCATCTGCTGTCCAGACTGCCCAGACCCATACTAGTGGTTCTGCGATATCTCTTCACCTTCCTCAACCAGTGAGTACTTCTGGGGAACCAGTTGGCTCTTGGGGATGGAGGGGGTCACTAGTGCTATAGCTCCCTGCCTGTGACCTGCATATTTCCCCAGCCTGGCCCAGTACAGCGATGAGAACATGATGGACTCCTACAACCTGGCTGTATGCTTCGGGCCCACACTGTTGCCTGTGCCTGCTGGGCAGGACCCTGTAGCCTTGCAGGGCCGGGTGAACCAGCTGGTGCAGACTCTTATCCTGCAGCCAGCACAAGTTTTCCCATCCCTGGCCATGCTGCCAGGCCCCATCTATGAGAAGTGCATGGCACCACCTTCTGCCAGCTGCCTGGGGTATGCTTTGGGGGCTTATTGGGGGAGAGGGAATCTACTGGAGGGAAACCTGCCTTACTCTGCTTGAAACATCAGGGATGGCCAGTTGGATAGCCTTGCTGGGGAGCCGGAGCTGGAGTTGGAAACTGGGACCACAGCTCAGGAGGATGGTGAGGAGGAATCGAGCAGGGAGGCTCTACCCCATCCTTTACTCTACCCTCAGCCTGACCATCTCTTCCTGACAGAAGCAGAAGGAGTTGTGGAGGCTGTGGCCTGCTTTGCCTATACTGGCCGCACTGCCCAGGAGTTGACCTTCCAGCGAGGCGATGTACTGCGACTGTATGCTCGGGCATCAAGTGACTGGTGGCGAGGGGAGCATGCTGGCGTGCAGGGACTCATTCCCCATAAGTACATCACACTGCCTGAGGGGTGAGTGAGCTGACATCCTGGGGAGGGTCTCATTGTATCTGCCTGGAATCTCCTGGCCTGTTATATTCATGGTTGCTTTTTAGCCTATACTCAGCGTAGAGTCTCCAGGCCTTCTTCTTTCTGGAAGTAGTCGCTGACATTCTGCTATGCTCAAACAGGACTTGTTCTAATCAAGGTTGCTGCCTTCCACAACCCTAAAACAAAGTCTATAGGCATAGGTTTCACCTAAACACAACTGTTCCCAACTCCTTTGACTGGGGCAGGAGACATTGGCCTCCAAGCTCTAGCCAGGAGAGAGTACAAAGCAAGCCAGTCTTTTACCTTCCCAGGGATGAGAAGCGGACAGCTGGTTTGCAGACCACGGCAGAATCTGTGAGCCAAACAGAGGGCTCCCTGACTTTGGAGTTTACCAATCGGTGAGCCAGGAGAAGACAGGCTTTTGGAACGACCCCTCAGCCATGTGTGCTGTTAGAAGCACTGTTAAGCTTGAGGGCATGGGCTCAGGTTTTGGCCACATGGGATTGGAGGTGTTGTTACATAAAGGACACTAAGTGTGTACAGAACAGAGTCTGCCTTATTTGTGACTGGGAGGGATTCTAGAGGAATAAGATAGGCACTGCCAGCTTATGTTAAGGATTTCCCAGGGCCATTGCCAATCTTCCTATCTGTGCCTTGTAGGCTGGAATTAGGCATCCCACGTGAGGCTGTGGGTGCCTCTGGACACAGAGGACATTATTTGGTCCCTACCTCCCTTGAGCGACCTGTGGAAATAGATAAGGTAAGAGCCAGGACTGGCTATGGAACCAGCAGGGGGCGCCTCTTCTACATGGTCTCTGTCCTTCCCAAGGTGAGGCTTATTGTTCTTATCTTTAGTCCCAGTCCAGGGGCACCTGCTGCCAGCAAGTCCAGTCACAATCTAGGGGACAAGGGAGAAGAGACAGGGTGGGAGGGACAGATGTAGAAACACAGAGGCAGAGATAAGAGGGCAGAAGGTCATCAGCTCCGCTGTGGTACTCGTGAGCTAGAGAGAAGCCAGACTGTCTAGGCTGATATGGGCTAGGGGCTCCAGGCCAGACTTCAAGGCTGCCACCTAGAGCTAGGTTTTGGTGCTTAGCAAGCCAGGGAGAGTAAAAGTACAGATGATAGGGAAGTAGAAGGGACAGCTTTATACGGCGAGTCCTTTTAGTCCCTATGAACTGAACAGGGAATCCCTGAAGACAGATGCTAAGTCTTAGGAAGAGTGTCCCTGCTCCTAGGCCTAGGGAGCCTAGTGAAGGCTGGTAAACACACAGACACTAAAGCCTGGCAGCTGGGAGACCCAGGGGAAGCCACTGACCCGGGATTCCCCAGCATGTTGACAGCCCCAGAGGCCATGTATGGAAGCTCTGATGTCAGCCAGAAAAAAGTAGGAGTGAGAATAAGGGGGACCCAGGACTCAGAGGGGCCCCTTCTCCAGAGCCAGACCAAGAAGTTACTGTCCCACAAGCAAAACTGAAAGTGACTGGAGGAAAAAAGCTGGAATGAAATGGGGGAGGTGGCCTGGAGGCTCAAGCAGTCTCTTCTGTGGCCCCTGGAGAGAGAGCCTGGTGGCAGTGTGATAATCAAGGCCTCAGTTTGGGCAATGGAGGAAACTCACTGAGCCCTCCATTTTTCCTTTCTGCTAGGCTGTGGCGCAAAACATGGACTCTGTGTTTAAGGAGCTCTTGGGAAAGGCTACTGTCCGCCAGGGACATGGGCTAACATCTACAGCCTCCCCCAGTCTAGGAACCCGAAACCTGAAGCCCTTGACCTGCAGCAGCTTCGGCAAAAACAAAGTCTTCTCCCAGGAACCTCCCTCAGCCTCCCATCCCCAGGGTCCAGACTCAACTCGCAAGCCACTCTGAGACAGCTTACCTCAGCAGTCACCAACCCACCATTTCTCCCTAGAACTCTTTGGGAAGTAGCAAAGGAAGGAGGCTAGAGACAAACCCCCCTGTTCCTTTGCTGGGAAGCCCTGGGCTGTGGCTGTGGAGGATGGAAGTTGCAGTAATTCATAAAGACCCTTACACTGGCTGCTGTTGTAATAACCTACACTCTATTTGGGGGTGCTAAACAGGTCAGGTGCAGTGCAGCTCCGAGAGCGTGCACTACTAGAGGCCAGATACCAAGACAGAAGGTTGAACAGCTTCAACAGCTTCTTCTGGGAAAGAGGGTCCTCTGACATGGAGCTAGCTGCCTGTTGTCATTTGGGAACCTGCCCCAAAAGTGCAATCTTGGTTGCTCATATCACATACTCTTGACCATATGTATATTTATAGGTATGGGGGGGTCTTTGTCTTTATTCTAGCCTTTGTGCCCACCATTTACCGGTCCAAAGAAACCTTTTCCACGTGGAAAATTAACTGAAACTTTTATTAAGGAGATAGACAGAAGGGAGGAGTAACAGGAAGTTCTACTAACCCCATCCTGGTCCTTCCTTCACCTCCCTAGGATTCTTCACCCACAGGGTGCTTGCCAGGATAAGAAGCACAAGCACCTCTGTCCCCTGTTCCCCCTCCAGATCTTGAGACCTCTGTCCCAGTTGCTTCCCATGTCTGATGCATAGGAGTCAACTTAAGGGTTTCCTTACAGTCCTGGAACATTCCTTTTTGCATACCTGAGGACAGTGAGACCTAGGGAGGATCAAGGATGGCCAAGGTACCCCTCTCTTGGTACTCCCAGGGCCAAAACGAGACAGTCAGCTACAGGGAGCCTTTGGATGGAAAAAGCCCAGTGATTGCTCAGGAGGGTGTATCCTTGGTCAGAGAAGAGCTGGCCGTGGCACAGGACTCATCTTGAGGCCCTAGGCTGGGTGTAGTGTGCCTCTGAGCACAGCAAAGCAGACTCCGCAGCTCTGAGGAGATGCTGCTACTGAAGGAAGCATAGATCCAGGGGTTGGTACAGCTGTTAAGGCTAGCCAGCAGCATGAGCAGCACAAAAGGAGGTCCTATGAAGGAGAGAAGAGTCCAGGTTGGAGCTCAGGGTGTCCCTTGCTCATTCTAGCAAGCCATGGGGGCACCACATGTGAACCCACTAGTAGGGCATAAAGGTAAAGCAGGTGGAATACCTGAATGTGTATAGCCAGGCCCTTACCTCCCTCACTCCCAGCCTTAGCCACACCCACACCCACTTTCCAGAGGAGCCTCTGGGTCCCACGCTGCCCACAGCTGCACAAGGAAGAAGGGTGCCCAGCACAGCACGTAGACGATCACAATCACCAGTGTCATCCTCACAGTCTTGGCCATGGCTGCTGACACATGAGCTCCCTCGGTGGGACTGCCTGTCCGGTGCCCTCTGCGGCGCCTCCCTGCCCTCTCAGATGGCCCTGGCACCAGACTGGCATGAATCTCTCGGAAGATAAGAACCTGGCAGGCAGCAATACCCAGGGCAGGTGCTACAAACACCATCAAGGCAATCCAGGTGACGTAGGCACGAAGGCCCCAGGGCTCTGCAAATCTGGCCCAGCAATCAAACACTCCACTGCCATTTCCCACATCTCGTTGAGCAAAAATGAAGAGCTGAGGCAGGCTGAGAAGGAGTGAGAAGGCCCAGGCCACCAGCACTGGCCGGTTCCAGCGAGCCCCACCTCCATGGCGGTATGCCAGCATAGGGCGGCAGATGGCGCGGTGGCGGTCTAGCGTCATGGCCAGGATCATATAGGAGGAGGCATACATGCCCACCATCTGCAGGTACTTGACGGCCCGACACAGGGCATCAGGGCCATGGAAGCGGTCAGTGACATCCCAAGCCAGCTGGGGCAGCACTTGAAACAAAGCCACAGCCAGGTCAGCTAGGCACAAATGACTGATGAAGACGTGCATGGGTGCCCAGCGTCCACGCCGGCCCCGTCGTATTAGGGCTCCCAGCACCAAGCCATTGCTCAAAGCCACAGCCACAAAGATGGTAGAAAGCAGGGCCAGTTCAGCCCGGACTAGCAATGGGTTTCGGTCATCCAGTAGCTCCTCCTGGCTGCTGTTGCTGGGAGAGCTAAGGGGCGAAAAAGGCCCAGGCACAGCTAGGCAGGGGGGAGGGACAAGTTAGTGGGGTGCCCTGTAGGCCCCCTAGAATGAGAAAATTCCAGCGCCAGGGATGGTGGGCTGTGCAGCTGACACCTAAACCCCTTGTTGATCTTACTGCCTATTTCCTGGCTCCCAGCAGAAGGGACTTCAACCCGCTCACAAGAAAGGGAAAGAGTTTTTAGAAAAAGGGCCTTCTTGGCTTCATCAAACCCCCACCTAGCCCACCTGGCTCATCCAAGCAAGGGGTAGTAGGAACCCAGTGACTGGAACCTTACCAGATATGGTGGACACAAGGAGCATGGTAGGGGTGGCTGCAGGTGACCTGCACACTTGTCACGGGGAGGGGGGGGCAACTCAGCCTTCACTCCAGGGGCCAGCCCCGCTGTCCAGGGTCACTGCACAGGATAGAGGTGCCAGGAGGCAGGCACCTCTCTTAAGGTGTGTTCACAGGTTGGAGGTCCAGCCTCTATTTAGGCCTGGGCAAGGACTATAAAGAACAATCAGACAGAACAACATACGAAACTCAGATTCCATCCAGGCAGCGCGCAAGAGCCAGACTGGTGATTAGGCATCAGAGGTAAACACTAAGATCCCCCTGCCCAGACAGCAACTTGGATAGACCACCATTGGAGGGCTAAGGACTGAACAAGAGAGACCAACTATGCTTCTCAGAGCCCTTTTACAGCCCCTTACCTGCTCCAGCTCCTGGGCTTCTGGGCAGCTGAGCAGCAGCGTGAAGGTGGCTCAGCCCTCAGATCTGTTCTCCATTGTCGGCCCCGCCCCAACCCAGCCTCAGGGAATGACCTGCCCAGGAGACTTCCCCCTCCTCCCCTAGCCTCCCGCCTCCCCTAGTCTCGCTGGCTTCCTTCCTCCATCTACCAGGAAGTAAGATCCTGTCCTCCAATTTCCCTTTCTGACCCAGGCTTCCTCGGTCAGTCCCAGGACCACCCTTCGCAAGCACAGGGCCCCATCTTGGTTCAGCAGCTGCTTCCATCCTGCCTGCCCCTATTCCACAGGTCCCTCTTTCTAGAACATCTGGTACAGCAGTGCTGTGGGAAACTATTTAGTGGAGCACCTCATCTAAGTGGGAAACTGAGGCTGGTGATGGCTGGAACTGACCCAGAATCACTACTTTTTCATGGCAAATCCTGACCTTCTTTAGCCAAGCCACGCTCCTTTTATCTTCATCTCCCATCCCCAAAGCCTGGGGATGGGAGAACCTCTCAGGATCATTCAAGACCCTCCTCCTCAATTAGGGCTGTCTGCTCAGAGATGAAGGATAGGAAGGGGTGGGGCTGGGGCTAAACCAGGGCTAACGTGCCCATGTGTGATCCAGCTTCCTCTCCAGGAGCCTGTAGGAACCAGGAGCCCCTGCACCCTCTTCTTCATGCCCCACCTGTAAGCACCCATTCCAGGAGGAAGAAGGCTTTTCAGACTGATCTGCAGTATAGTTTACCTGTTTCTCTGTCTTCATACACACACCCTCAATACATGCTTCACCCAATGTGAAGACTCATACATTTGTGCACAAACAGTAGGCTCAGGATCCAAGTTCCCATGTGAAAGAACCTGAGCAGAGAGCTTAGGGACCCAGATGTTTAGGACCTCCTCTCTCCCACAGACCCAACTCCTGCCACCTGTAACTCACCAGCTCCTCCTCTTTCTATGGCTCCCTGTCCAAATTAGCTTTGTAGACTGGCTGACCTCGAACTCACAGAGATCCACCTGCCTCTGCCTTCTGAGTGCTGGGATTAAAGGTGTGCGCCACCACCGCCTGACTCATTGTAGCTTTAATTTTTTTTTTTAAATTTTACTACATTTATTTATGTGAGGTTGGAGTGTACACCTCTCTCTCTCTCTCTCTCTCTCTCTCTCTCTGTGTGTGTGTGTGTGTGTGTGTGTGTGTGTGTGTGTGTGTGTAAGTCAGAGGAAATTTCTGGGAGTCATTTTTCTCCTTCCACCATGTGGGTCCTGGGAATCAAACTCAAGTTACCAGGGTTTGGTGATAGGCACCTTTACCCACTAAACCATTTTGCCAGCCCATCATTGTTACTCTTTAATTCAGCTTCACAATAGAGAGATATCCACGTCCTTTGTGCTTTATTAGTGTTTGTTGATGTTGCTGAATTTTCTATCTGCACTAAAGAAGAATGGTTTATCCTGCATGGGGATATAGTGCTCCCTAAATATCAGTTACATTAATTTGCTTGATAATACTGTTCAAATCTATATTCTGACTGATCTTTTTCTTTCTTATTTGATCAATTCCTGAAAAACATATGTTGTAGTATCAAACTGTGTTGGAAGATTTATTTCTAGAGCCCTTTAAAGGGAACAGTTTTTTTACTTTATATATTGAAAGACTTGGCTTTAGGTCTTGTTATTTGTCCCCTTTAGTGCCCCTCCTACTTCTGGTAACACTCTTTATGCTAAATTCTATTCTATCTGGTATTTGTAAAGCCATACCATCTTTCCTGTGCTCTGTGCTTTCTTGGTTTATCTTTTTCTATACTTTGACTTTCAACGTATATTTATGCTTAAAGGTGCTTCTTGGAAATACCATATAGCTACTTTGTTTAAGGTTGACAGTCTCTGCCTTTTAACTGGTGTGTGACAGATTGTGGCTTTCCAAGGTAGCCCCAACAATAACTCAATCCCACATGTTCTCCTGGAACCTTGCCACCTCCCATCAATAGGTGAAATTTAGCCCTCCCCCTACAATCTGAGTAGGTTTGCATGTTGCTTGTGATTAAGATAATCTGCTAAAAGTGCTGCTTGCTTTCTGAGGCTGGATCAGAAAAATCAAGGCATGTGGTTTCTATCTTATTAGCTGGTATATTCACCCATCACAATCATGTTAGCTGCCCAACTTCCCCATGAGAAGATCTGAGCAGCCATCACAGAGAGTATAAAGGAGACAGGCCCAGGCTGGCTGCTTTAGCTTGCTCCATCTGTAGCTCTCATTGGACAACAAGCTTGTAAAATACCTCCAAGCCAGAATGACTTGGTGAACCC